GGACAATGTTCCGTTTGGTATGTAGGGAAAAGCCTGGACCCCCGTTACGGGCCCCCTGCCTCGTGCTGTCGTTCCTCCAGCTGGACAGGAATTGGCTTATAGCACGGTCAAAACACATGCTGCTGCCATTTCATCTTGCCACGTAGGTTTTGGGATCAGCGAGAGTGATAACTTTGGATGGCTTCTTTCCTCCTCCTCACACATCAGAGGAAGAAGCCACATCTCATTTTCTCTGTCCCGTGCGCACGCTGTCATGCTATATTGCACGCACGGCTGCTTTACGCAGCTCGTCTGTTTGTGCATTACAGAGAGCGCTCAATAGGGCAGCCTCTGTCTGCACAACGCATGTCACACTGGCTGTGTGAGGCTGTGTCACAGGCGTATGTCCCCTCTGGGGTGGATCCCCCGGAGAACATCAAAGCGCACAGCACCAGAGGATTTTCCTCCTCTACGGCGTTGCACGGAGGAATGACAGTGAAGGACATTTGCACTGCTGCATCTTGGTCTTCCCCCTGTCAGAGTGAGTAATGTCAGGGACTCAACTGCGTGCCCTCTCTCCTGCTTGTCGGCACTTAGAGAGCTGCCCTTTCCCCCCTCTTTGATCGTTTTAACAAGTGGGACTTTGGTTTCTACTTTTCATAACGACAGGTAGCCTATTTAGCCTACCTTCTTTCCCGTATGGAGAATATTCATTTTTTAATGCTATATTCCCTGGGAATGTGATGCTCCATTACGCATGGCGAAATGGACATGGGTTATTAACTGAGTAGGTGTGTTTTGTGCTTCTAGTAACGGACGGAACCAGTGGGGCGTAGACTACATCCTGCTTCGCCCTTAACCCAATAGCGATAGAGGGCGAAGCCTTATACGATATATAGAACTGGGGTTACGTACTGTAACCCTGTTTCTATGAGTTTAGGCGCAGCCCTCTAAGGTTCGGGCCCCACTGGCTCCGCGAATAGCTGAAGAAAAGCTGTTNAAGTTAGTCCTCTCTGCACCTACATACCTCTATGCTACATCATTTTAGACACAGCGCAATTTCCTTCATGCAGTTTGAGGTGAATATATCATACAACTCACGTAATGTAACCCAGTTTCTATGAGTATAGGCGCAGCCCTCTAAGGGTCGGGCCCCACTGGCTCCGCGAATAGCTGAAGAAAAGCTGTTGTGTGGGAGTAGATGGTAGGGCCTACTTCCTATTTATACGGAAGTGAGCCCGGAGGTGGGGCCCACGTCATAGGTGGGCGTGGATTAAGTCTGTCAGTGCTGCACACGTGCAGTGGGGATTACCCAATAGCGATAGCCTTAGAGGGCTGCGCCTATACTCATAGAAACTGGGTTACAGTACGTAACCCCAGATTTAAGTGTTGATTCAACAAAGTAACTAAAGGTATTAAATAAATGTAGTGGAGTAAACACTATTTACCTCTGAATTTTAGTGGAGTAGAATCACAAAGAAGCATAACATGGAAATACTCAAGCAAAGTACTAAATCTCTAAATTGTACTTAAGTACAGAACTTGAGAACATGTACTTCTCACCACTGCCAACAGATTACAACTCCTGTTGTCACTGCCCTTCATGCATTTATCTACTCTTCTCATCGGAATCAAAATAACACTTCCATGGATCCCACATTAAACATCCACGTATTCGATAGCAGTGGCACAGAGTGGCCCAGTTGATCAAAGAAAGGTGAATCGCACACAGTATGGAGCTAGACGGATGTGTGGGGCTTTTACTTTTGAGTATTGTGGTGACTCTAATTAACCATAATTCACTTTTGGGTCACAGTTCCTACACGGACCTTGTTTAGTGTAACACCGGAGATATAGGTTGCCAAGCTAGAGCTAGCAACGCACTCTAACTTGACTCTCATCACTGAGTACATGTCTGATATCACTATTGCTTGATGGAAAATAAAGAGTGGAAATCCATCTTAAATACTCCGCCTCCGACTCCTTCTTACCGGCACTACACTGGTGACCCTGACGTGATACTCAGGAGTAGAGGGGGTCGGTGTGTTGTTCCTCCCCGCCGCACGGACTTTGTTTATCTGTGAATTCTGTTGGGGCTTGTGTGGTGACTCTAATTAACCATAATTCACTTTTGGGTCACAGTTCCTACACGGACCTTGTTTAGTGTAACACCGGAGATATAGGTTGCCAAGCTAGCAACGCACTCTAACTTGACTCTCATCACTGAGTGAGTACATGTCTGATATCACTATTGCTTGATGGAAAATAAAGAGTGGAAATCCATCTTAAATACTCCGCCTCCGACTCCTTCTTCCCGGCACTACAGTATGCTTCTTTATAAAACTATCCTTCTATACTACTTTTTCAGATAAATTGGTCTACCTTTCAAAGACTTTTGACTGGACTACAGATTTTCAGGAAGAGCTTTAATATGAGGCAGATAAACATTTAAGGAGCTCACTCATATCTCCGTGTGTAGCCTACACATCTTCTGCATACAAATAGTTTTCCTTTTAATCATTAATTACATTTAGTCACAAGGTAGGACCTGAAAGACATTTGAGTGGGAAAATGCTTCTCTTTTAAATAAACAGGTAAAAAGCGCTGGGACGGTATAATCTAGGTCAGCTAATCAATCGTTTGCAAATTAGATAATATTTTGGCTTTATATAATCCATTAACCATGTTAACCATATTTTTTCAAATAAACACATTAGACACACTCAAGACGTTTACACACTGGAAGCAAGCATAACGTAAACGACGCTTTAAACTGTGTAGACTTCTTTGAGATCCTTAGGTTATAGAAAGGTCTGTAGTGTGTATTTCTTAATGACAGTTGGAGGCAGCGGATGAAAAGGTCTGCAGTCAGCTGACAGTCATCTCCCAGGGCTGACCCAGGACCAGCTACTGACCTGCGGAGTCGACCTGCGGCAGGAAGGAGAGGTGCTCCTTGTGTTCCTCAGACAGAACCAACAGCATCCTGGAGCAGCAGCCAGAGTTTAACAGTCAGTAAAAAAAAATGGGAAACCCAAAAGCACTCCGATTTAGCTTAGCCATGTAGCTCTCCTTCTTCTTCTGTGGTGTCTGACTGCAGCTGTATCACTGCCGCCTGCTGGTCTTAATCCTCCTTCCTGTTTCTGCTGAGTCCGTCCCTGGGACTGTGTTCAGATATCAAGTGTTCAATATTATTATAATAATAGACATTATTACAAATGTAAAACATATTTTTAAAATATACTACTTTGAAATAAATGTATTCATAAATGTTATATTGTGTATTTCTTTTACATTTTTTTCAAATTGTCCTTTTTTCCACAGTGGGTTTTTATTGCATACTGTGTTGTGATAACAGGTGACTATCTGAACTGAATCCTGAATACCACACACAAAGTCACCTGGATATAACTCCTGTTCTACAGCTAAAGATCTGAACAAGACAGTAGGATACTTTAACAATTAATTTTTTTACAAAATATTTAAACAAGACGAATGGATGGGCTAAAATGGGGTTGCGTGAGCTCCAAATAAAAGAGAGTATAGGCCTTATTTATATATACAGTCTATCTATGGTATACTATAGGCCTTTACTTTTATATGTTCACTCTTCCAACTTTTCATTACAGCTCTGCCACATTTTACTCTAATGTTTTCCATGAGTTAAGGTGTGCACGATGGATAGTTATACTGCACATGGAGTGAATATATGGCGTTGGTATCATGTAGGATATCTCCAGATTAACAACACTGCTTTTATTCATCTTCCATTTCCTGCACTCAACTAAAAAAACGATACATTTTCAACCTAGGCGCCCTATCATGCTCATTATTCAAGTTTCCTAACTGTATTTTGTTCTTCTTATGGGACATGTTTCCATGCTTTATTGTTCAAAAAGCTCTTTATGTATCTCTGCCTGTGCTGCAGAACCTCTTTTCACCCTCTGTCTGAAACCAGAGCCCAGTCTGCTCTGATTGGTTAGCTGGCCGGCTCTCTTCTGACCCCTTAGACTATCATATTGTTCAATGTGTTGGGGGGCTAGCTAAAAGAACCTTGTGTTACATAGTGATGTCATTATGTTACAGAAGTAATCAAAAGAGTCATTTCAGGCAGTGTGGGAGAGAAACTCCCTTTGGAGGAAACTATGGGATTCTAGCCTTTGCAGACCATTTACATGCACAAAAACGCACTACGGAGTAATATAAACAAATATAAGCGCTTTTATTTTCTTATCTTCAAATCACTCAGCTTTCCTTTTAGATATGTTGTCTAAGCGAGAACTTCTTGCTGTTAGCATATTATGAGCAATATTTGGCAGTTCAGTCACTTGTTTATTAATAACCACTCGTAATATCAAGTCTGTATATGTAAAACATTTATTGTGTACAAAAAGTAGTTCAACAAGTTCATCTTAAATGAAAACTCACATTTGGCATGCCCCCGCCCCCACCCTCCCCACATTAACAATACAAGGTTAAATGATGTCCTCATTTGAAATATCACATCACTCACATATTGACCAGTCATGTGACAGTCCCTCCAGGAACAGGTTTTCTATAAAAAGCTCCTGAAGGCATCACTTGTGCCTATTTTTAAACAATGTTATTTTCCTGAATTTGGATTAGTTAAGTTCTAACTACGAACTGTGATCATGCCTACTAATATGCAACAATAACTATCAAAATACATCTTATCTTGAGATTGAAGCTTCATTATGCAACTTATCAAAATTGCAATGATTGGTCAAAATAGCACTTTCTTAGGAAAAGCTTGGTAATTAAATTAAGTTATGGTTTGAATAAGCTTAAATTAAAGGATTTCCTGGAGGGACGTCATATTTCAGAGAACAATCAATTCGGTCAGTTAGTCTAACACGGCCAAGCACAACACTGCAGAGTAGTGTTCATAATAGTTTCAGCGCAATCCTGAAAAATGTTTAAAGGTAATAAACCCAAGCCTAACCTTAATCATCCCTAAAAAGTACATGAAATATCTTGTGTAAACAAATTGGTTACATAGAAAAGCCCTCTATAGAAAAAAATAATAACTAGCAATGAAAAGCACACACAAAAAGAGTTTCCCAAGATGGCACGGGAGGTGTGAGAGCAAGTCTTTTACACAAACAAGAGAATAGAGGCGAACTGGCCTCATACACTGGAAGAATTGCTCTCATCCTTCACCGTGTGTACAATGATTTCTTTAAGCACATTCATTCAATAAGACCTGCAGTCATGGTGCTGTCTGAGCCAACATGATCGCAACAGTGTATTACTAAATATGAACACATGACCGCGAGCTATGTCATTGAGAAGCTGCATAGAGCCTTCTCTACTGATAACACAAGAGCTGCTTCGGCCTGTTTAACTTGAAAGCTAAAGGAGCAGATCCGAGTGGGCACCAAGGTTTTTATACAATAAATGTTTGTAAAGATCATGCTACTAACTGGCAGGGCACATTTAGACTGGGCTACCCACTGAGCCAACATGACCCAGCACATTGAACTGGGGCTGTGGGTCAGGAGGAAGCTGCTGTAGGAGAGCGTTACACTTTTCCTTCGGACATGAGACTCATGTCAAACACTTGGGACACATTTTGGTTTAGGGATTTCATTTAAATTGATCCATAATTTCAACTGTCATTCTATGTAGACAATGTGTTCCCCATGAAAGGGAACTTCTTCAATCTCTGAGTCGTGTTTTATATGCTATTCAAATAATTAATCTTTTGATATTGACCGAATATGGAAGACTTAAATAAAAATGTCAGGAAATCTATCTGTAACAGTACAAATAACTCAAAACTGTTCAGCATGATCCCATTAAAAATTGATCGTCTATTCAAAGTTATAAATGCATCAATCTGTCGGGCATTACGGCCCAGGTCCTTTCTCTTGAGTTGATTTCACTAACATATTTTGAATGAAGGACATGTAGAGACATGTAGAGAATGATGGGATTAATCAGTCTGACTCAACATTGGGATCGTCAGATGTTGGCATTGATAGCAATATTTAAGAAAATGTCTCATTAAAACAGGTCCAGAGAAACAGATGGCAGTAAAAAGAGCCAATTAGTCCAAGAATTCTTATATTTTTCTTGAAGAATAAAAAAACACATATTGATGAGGCGTAATTGATAGGGTGGTTTGGAGTGGCTCTAGGGAATAAAGGAAGTGAAAGCCAACAGGGAGGAAGGCCTCACATGATAGCACACTCTCTTTGCGACGCCTTGCCCTGCGGGGAGAAAAAAAAGGTTCAGATCATATTTCAAATTTGATGAGTTAAAAAAAAAACATGTACTTTAAAAACAAACAGGGTTCATAAACAGTGTTGAGTGGCCTCACCCCCTGTTCCTCCTCCTCCTCCTCCTCCTCTTCCTCTCCGTTCTCTACCTCCATCTCAGCCTTGGTAACGCTACGTGTGGCCACCTCCTGCAGGACAGACAGTAAGCAGACAAACATGAGACTCAGCGATGGATAACACATGTGGAGCGCATGCACACACAGAGGTATGGATATGTTTACCTCGCCATCGCCGTTAACCAGAGTGGTGGTGATGTCATTTCCTGTGCCCCAGGAAGTCTGACTCTTCCACAGCAGGTCAGTTGGTGGACTGTGGGCCACGCCGGCATCAGCAGACCACACCTGGGAAATATTACAGAAGAACACATCATGATCACCACACTTTCACTTTGAATCATATCATCCATACTTTAAGCATCTTTTACCAGGGACATAAACCTAGACAGGTGTTCTATGTCTCTTGTCTAAAGGCCCAGACACACCAAACTGACACCAAAGAACACGTCCCGATGGACCCGATTGTTGTGTCGCCTCACGTCTCCTGCGGATTGGCCAAAGAGTGGCACTGGAACACACCGCAAAGACTTCAGCCGACGGCCATGTAGCACGTACGCACTGCGCATGCGTGAGTGGCAATAACTCAATAACTCTCCTTACTAGCAAGCGGCGGTAGTGTGTATTCTTAATTCAAAAGAGGCAACAACCGGAAGACAGACTGCGTGATATATACAAACAACAAATAGCGTGCGTTCCATGTTCACTCTTGTCCATCACAGACTGTTTCACATAACGACTTATAATCGAAAACATGTTTAGTGCGGTACTGGAAAATGAAAAATAATAGCCGTCTGTGTGTGCCTTCTTCACTTCCGTTTTGCTTCTCATGCACTGATTCGCTAAGCTGAACAGCCAATCAGAGTGATTTCTTTTGCCGACAGCGGAAGGTATCGGCATGGCCGAAAAGGTGCGACGGTGCGGGACACACCAATCTGAGTAGGGCGACAGGACGCTCATCCGGGCTTTAACTCTATTAATCTACAGCTTGATTGTCCTATGCTGTACAAATTGTAAAGACTGCTGAAGCAAATGTTTCAATACCATCATATTAGGTCACACAATAAAAATGAGATTAATATATTGTACATAAAACGTTACCATGTAGCAGTGTCATTCTAAGGAGAGCTGGAATGTGAGCATGAGCAAACAAGTTGTTTCTAATTTTGTTTCTTATACACAACTAATGGTAAAGCTTGCGTATATTGCACTTCACTTAAAATGTTGATTGTTAGATATTATTGCAGATTGTTTATGCATTATAAGCCAAGCAGTGGGTGCTTTCAATGGCGTTATCGTTGTTACAGACTTGTTTGCAGCCACAGATTTGTTACTTCTTTCTGCAACACTGACTACGCAGTTCATTTGTGTTGAAGGGAGTCGTCTAAATATGTCGTTTTAGTGCGAGTTATGTTGAATGACTGCATGATTAATTTGTTTATGACACAGTCAGCTGTAGCTGAACACTCTACACATGACAGAAACAAAGAATGAACTCAGTTTTAACCTACACACAGCACTCACTAGACCCTCCAGAAAAACGCGGGCAAAAATCCTTGATTATGCGATTAAACATGCGGGGTTTTTATGTGATTTTATGCGGTGAAATTGCGGGACGTTGCGAAATATGCGGAAAGTTGCGAAATATGCTAAATATGCGGGGGAAAAGAATAACAATTTTTTTAAATATTGGGCTGTCTTATTTATTCTCTCTCACACACAACCTGCCACTAACGTTAAACCCCTTTACTATTCAATTAAACACATTCAATGTTTATTTATTGTAAAAGCAATTGGGCTATTTTAATCTCACACCACCACACACACACACACACACACACACACACTTCTCCGCCTCATTCTGTTTTCATTTACTCGTTCGTTATCTGAGCAGCTTCAATCTTGTAGGCTACTCACTTCGTTTCTTGTAGCCCTCGAAAGGGTTTTGGAGGTTGATGCCTCGGTGAACGTGAGTTCAATGGCTTTCTTGTCCGCAGCAGCAGAAAGCATTTTCGAATGTTTGAATGAATCAAAGTGGGTCGTCACCTTCGATTTTCTCTTATGCTCCACAGTTGCACGGGGTGCAGAATAGTTTCCCCCCACTTTTTGCCCGGTCTTTAGTAGAAATGTTCGTTGGTAAATGAGCTCTATACAGTTTTGTTTACATTCTGTGATGCGCGAGCTGATGACGTCACGTCAAGACGAGTTAACTTTTTTTTCTTCTCAATTTTGTGTGGAAAAATGCGGGGATTATGCGGCCTTTTGATAAATATGCGGCCTTTTAAAAATCTGCGCCATTTTGCTGATTATGCGGTAAATTCTGCGATCGCAGAATCGCGTTTTTCTGGAGGGTCATCATTCTCCTCTACTCACCGTGACTGACTGTCCAGCCTTGAGGACAAACTTTGGGGAGAACTTGTAGATGACCTCGTCTCCTTCATCCACCTGTCTCTTCAACCTCCAGCTGCCCAATGGCTGGTCCTGCAATACAAAACACAGCACAAAGCTTAACAAACTCTAACCTTTAACAGCCAACCTTTTATCCTAACCTTCATATGAATTGACTGCGTCTTTTTGTTGCTGGTGTGTATGCCCACCTGTTCAGAATCATTGGTGAGAGTGACTGCGTTCCCGTCCATGTCAGTGGGGGAAATGGTAACTGCTCCACTGGCTGTGGCTTCTTCTGACACCAGCAGCTGGCCCTCTATTCCCGCCTCAGACACATCGGCAGCCTCGATCTCTAGCCTCTTCCTTTTGGTGCGGGAGGAGGAAGATCCTGTGACCCTGGAAACGGTGACTCGGGACGATGGGCTGGGGGACAGCTTCAGTCTGAAAGCAGCAGAGCAGTCAGTCAGCAGTGCTTATGCCTTTGAATCTGGTATCATGTCTTAATAACAAAGTATGTTATGTGTGTGTACCTGTGCTCCTCTCCCTCCAGCAGTTTCCTGTATGCATTGATCTCCATATCCAGGGCGAGCTTGACGTCCAGCAGCTCCTGGTACTCGTTGAGCTGAGTGTTCATCCTCTCCCTCAGCTCGCTCATCTCCTGCTCCTTCCCTTCGATTGTGCGCCGATGCTTGTCTCGCTCTGAGGACAGAATCTCCTCCAGCTCTCTGATGCGTTCCTCTGAGGCGGCTGCCTACAATTTCAAAAAGCAGAACCATCAATTTGTGAAGTCACTCAGCAATAAAATGTATGATGTGTGATGATCATAAAGCAATACCTGTTTCTGCAGGGCACTGAGCTGATATCCCAGACTCTCTATTCTCATCCGGGACTCCTGCACCTCCTCTCTGGCTGTTCCCATCGCCTTGTCATTGATCTCAGAGGACATCTTGGCATTATCCAGCTAAAGGCACAACAAAAAAGGCAGTGTGAGGCGCCAGTCAAAACTCAGACACACAAAGATCAAAAGGGAGAATGATTTGTCCTCTCACCTTGGCCTGGAAGGTGTGCTCCAGTTCGCCTTTATAAAGGGAGACCTGCTCATCGTGCTGCCTCCTCAGGTCCTGATGGATCATACACACATTATGACTGGTTCATAGTACACAGCATGGATTCAACAACAGAAGCGTGTTGTCTATTTCGCACTCTAGAGAAGACTATGTTGTGTGTCGGAAGCTTGTGATGCCTCTATTTTAACAATTCTGGGAACAACAAAGGAACATCTGACCAAAGGCCTAAATAAAAATTGAGATCTGTTGATTGACTAGAATTTGAAAAAATTTCATAAAAAATGTAGGACATCAGAGAGAATGTTGTCTTCAAGACTCAAGCTCAGACTGTTAGGTAACATGCAAGAGCAAAAAGATCCACCTAGTTGCAGTGCTGATCCTTCAGCACACGGAATGTTCCATAACGTGTGAAAGCATTCCCTTGACAGATTTGACATTCCACCATTTATTTTTGCATTGCACGGAGGGAAATTCATTGCCTTCACTGCTTTGCATCTGCAATGTGATTGGCGCTTTTTGGTGTATGCCGATCAATAGTAAAGTGGGTTTTTATATATTCAAGTCAACCCCATAGTTGTATTCTTTTTTGAATGATGCTTCTATATATGTTTCCTAGACATGACAGCGGTTACTCTGACTTACCTGTAGAGCTTGTGCCAGTTTGAACTCATAGTCCTGTTTGACTCCAGAGTCCACCTCCACGGTCCTGTGCTCCTTCCGGCGCCGCGACCCACGCACCTCCTGAACACAGGCAGCGACATTTCGTCATTAAATATCTGCACATGTGACTCTATTAGGAATTCCATCCTCTTCTAAACACAATGATCAACCTTCAGTGTATATATAAACAAAATGGTATTTTGGTTTTCAATAGATATAGTTAGTTTTAATAGACACAGGAATTTAGTTTTTGTTGCTATTTGACCAGTGTTTTTCTAGTTTGCATGGACTCTTACTGTCGTGAGATGAACTGAAAAGAGAATGAATCATTCATTTCCATTGGAGTAATGGGTAAAACACATATATACATACACACGCTATATAAGGTATCATAACATGATTTGTGGATATTTCTCCCCAAACAGCCCTTACCTCTTCGAACATGCTCTTCCTGAACTCCAGATCTTCACTCAGCGACTGACAGCGGTTCTCCAAGTCCACGCGCATCAGAGTCTCGGCCTCCAGCTGGCGCTTAGCAACAGCATGGCTGTCCTCTGCCTATAAGACATATTAGCATATAGAAATTCAACAAAGGGTTTAAGAAAGTGAGTCATCATGATCAGGCTGTTGGAGGAAACCTGGAAACATTGGAAGATGTCTGCTCCTCTCAGTAGGTAAGACGTGTGGTGTCAGTTACTGATACGGAATCTGCTTTGTTATTTGACTTATTCACTTAAAAACAACCTTTTTCTGGAGATATTTCACTTGATTTCAGCTAGAGTAAATGATGTCATCACGTGGTGACTCACTCTGCTCTCAGTCTTCATAAACAGTTTACATTAACATGTGTAGGTGCCTTCACTGATTAGGAAGCAAGCAGCACTTTCTCAACCTTTCTACACAATGTCTGTCCTTTCACACTATTGACTCCACTTACTTCCAGTTGGGTTGGATCAAATGTTTAACATTTTAGGAGAGTATTGAAGCACCATCTTTCATACAAAACACACTCGGCTTATCTTCAGACTATTTAACCCTTTCTTGTTTGCCCTTCGCTGCACACACCTTAGCCAGCAGGCTCTTAACATCAGCCAGCTCAGAGTTCAGAGCATTGTTCTGGCTCATAGCGGTAGCGAGAGATGCTTCACTCTTATTCAGCTGGCCTTCCAGACCATTGGCTCTGGACACGGCTGCAGCAAGATCGCCTTCCTTCTTCTTGTTGCTGAAACACACGGACAGAGAAAGGAAGGTTAGTTATATCTTCCAAAAACCCACAGACCTCGAGTACAAATTCATCTTATCTAAAAATGCATCCTCTCACCTGCGTGTGGCTTCTTCCAGGTCAGCCTGAGCCTTGCCCAGGTCTATCTGCAGCCGGGCTCTTTCTCTAGCGGTTTCATCCAGAACCCGCCGAGCATCGGCTAACTCTGCCTCGTACAGACCCTTGAGGCCGCTCACCTAAACAGATGAACACAAACTTGTTAAAAATGGCAGGGCTGGGATACTCTAATCTGTAGTATTATTGCTTTCCAGTGAGTCCTGGGTACAAACATTAGAACAAGACAAACACAAAGCAAACATCTAGCACATTCTGATAAACAGATCTTCTGATGTCTGGTTTTAGTTTACAGTTGAAAGCCTAGAATAGCCGTTTCAGGCTAATTTTATAAAGTGGCGTAATAACACTGCAGGCCTTTACAGCTGCAGGGTGTTTCTGCCACTGACCTTATGTGATCTTAAGTGTTTCATGGGGAAGCAAACTTCAAGTAGTTTTCGGAGCAGTGGGTGGGGCAATGTGACGGACACATTTAAATACCACTGTCATCAGAGGAACTCTCATTCCATCCACTAATCTGTCATTACCAGCCACAGGTTTGTCAGTCCGGTGTTTCCCACACTTACACTTTACTTCTGCCTAAGAACATTTGGCAAACCATTTTAGGTTTAAAAAAAAAAACTGTTCTAGAGAGCATTTTGATGATGAATTAACTAGGGGACAAACTCCTGTTGCTCTCCTCATCCTTAACCTGTTGATCAACTGACAGTCGCACACAGTTGAGGGAAACAGAGAGTCACTCTGCTGTTACGTTAAAACCACAGAGCATCGTTTTTTGTGGCAATCCTAACATTATCCGACAATTAAAAAAAATATATTATTTCAAATAGATTTAACACTGGAAAAAGGTATACATGTGTCCACTGGGAGACATTAGGTAATATTGCCACTTTGGTAGCTGTTCTTGCAAATCTAGCTCACCCCTAATGTTCATTTATTTGATTTGGTTGATTGAGGAGGAGAGTGAAGTTGTAACTGCAGAATTTGGCTGCGATCACATGATCACCAGACATTTGCTTACGGTAGTTAATTTATTTTGAAAATGTTAGGTCTGTTTGAAATAAAAGACAAGCAAGTTAAGTATTTTGGTATACTGTTAAATTAAAATATAAGTTTACCAAAAACCAAACACAAAAGCCACCATTACAAAGAAGACAGTTGAAAGAGGTTAACATTTTTAAATTTTAAATGCAACTGATAAAATGTCCTTATTGCAAGACTATTGCAGACTTTCAAGTTGAAATTATGATGACAATTCAAAAAAAATTGCACAGCCCCTAGGCGCGTATTATGAAATGTAAACACGCCTACAAATTATGAGATTTATAGAACCTTCCGCAATTTCTTTTTGTAAAGTGAAATCAATGTGTGCTTGTTGGAACATCAGTTCTAAAATTATTTTATGCAATTTAGGAATTTTACCACCGTTGATAAATATAAAACATTACCAATCCCCCCCCCTCCCCCCTGCATTATAGTTTAAAGGCCACCCAAACTATGCTTTTCTTTTATTTCAAATTAATCAACAGAAGGAATTTTTGGCAAATTATCAAATTTCTACAACAGAAAACCTACAAGAAAAGCACACTTCTCAAAATGTATAACTAAACTGAATAACTCAAATCCTCTTTTAAACTTTTGACAGTCTGATAAACCCTGTTTTTATGCAATCTAGCAGTATGTTAACTACCCCACTTCAGTAATAGTACCATTAGATCAGATGTATGCCATTGTCAGCCTATGAAGCTTAATAATGCCATAGGTAAAGTTATATCGCAAATAATTCATCTCCATTCCCACATCCGCTTTCATAACAGTTTTGATGAAGATTTAATAAACCTTATAAACTATTCATTAATGAAACCTCTTCTGCAGAGAAACCAATTTGATGCCTGACTTCCTAATAACTACCAAACGGTATTCAATCTGCTATTTTAGCAACATTTCAAAGAAGATTGTCTGAATGTAGGCAAAGGATTTATGACCTACAACAGTATCTATGAATCATAGCACCGAGACAGCAATGTTGTTAAGGAAATCCATTATCATGCTTTAGGAACTGAAACTAAACATTACAATTTTCAGTTTTCCAACTACATTTGAGTAAAAATAAGATAATTAAAAAATGATTTTTACAAGCTTCAGCTGTTTGCTGGTACACATTCTTGTTATGTTGTTGGGGCAGATTAAGGTAAAGGTGGAAAGACTGGATTCCTCAGCTGTTCTGACTTATTATATGTACCTACAACTTCTATCCAACTTTATTTATTTTTCATCACCACAAAACAACAACCAGAAAAGCAAGCAGAACTACCAACAACAAGAATAATAATAATAAACAACCAACAAAAACAAGTATCTATTTACCTTAGAAAAACAAAGTAAATAGTTTGGCTTTACTGTACATACTCCCTCGGTAGCAAGGGAGTAGATGTCGTTGATCCACACTGCAACACTTTAAGAAGTAAATATGACATCTGTTGACTGAGGATTGCTAGGCCTCTTCAAGGGTGGATCCCTACCCTCTTTACACATCCATTATCAAAAACATCTCTGATCTTCACCAGTACTGATGATATTACAGAGGAAACTGGGGACAAACTGCAATCACGGTTTGGCTGCTGATCATTTGAATGCTGTATATTATTCGCGTATAGTAAGTACGTTTGCCACCAAGTGACGGTAATGTAAAAACAAGGTATGGCTGATGTCATATTTATAGAATGGCGCGAAGAACCACCCACCCGCTCAATCTTCCCGGTCCCGTTACGTTTCATGCAGATTAGGAATACGGCAACACGTGTGTTATTAACACTAAAAAAGTTAGTGTTGCGGCCTTCCCATAGGGATTTAGTATATTTTCCTGGGAACAGGATATTGGAGTCACTTGACATTTTTTTTTTATGGACAGTTTGCAGCTTTAACTATAAATAACGTTACTTTATATCAATTTTGGTGGCCATGTTAGACTCCCTGGAGTGAAGCAGTCTGCTGCTGAGAGGCTGCCTTTGGGGGATGATGGAGTGAAGAGTAGCCTGGTGTTTGTGAATGGGAGAACAGTTTAGTTGGACTCACCTCGCGAGTAGTCACCTCCTCTTTCTCAGACACTTTGAACATCAGCCGGTCGTTCTCCAGCTCCAGAGAGCGCACCCGGTCGATATACACGGCCAGCCGGTCGTTGAGGTGCTGCAGGTCTTGTTTTTCCTGTAAGCGGGAGATCCTTGTCGGGGAGAGAGGAGTGGAGGCCGCCGGGCGGCCGGCTTCACGGCTCGGGGTAGCGGTCGCCATGACGGTTCTTTTAAAAGCCTGAGTTTTCTTTTCCACTCCGGGAACAATAAAAAACAAAAGTATCTGCTCTCGTCGTTAAACAGGGACGCAAAAGTAGTTTGTCTTCTTATTCAAAGAGGGGAGGTCAACCAATGAGTGGTGCGCTCATGCACTTCTCAGTGTAACCTAACCTGCTGGCTGGAACACTGGTATGAGTCCAAGATGGCCGACACCGCTCAAGACCGCGCCAAAAGCAAGGGACGCTTCCTGCCTCGCAATGGCTGATGGGAGAAGGCATGCGCGCTCACAACATTGCTCACACGCACACATTCTCGCTTCAGTTTGGATTCCCCGCGAGGGCAAATGTTGTTATTAAAAAATGTACGATACATTTTGAACATTGTGCACTAATGGCATATGGAGATATGCAGCTCAGTGTGGAGATAATAACCACACAACCTGAAATTGACAGAAAAATGGCCTGTATCAGGAGAATAACAACATTTTACCATTTAATTTATTTGAATGAAGAGCCATTTCTAAATTCTATAGATATTTATTTAAACATGCATATATTTTTATATGTGTATTATATATACACTCAGGCAAAACCAGTCGTGTAAAGTTACTAAGTAGATTTATTATATTACTGTACTTGAGTACAATTTTGAGGTTCTTCTACTTTACTTTAGCATTTAAATATTTTGCTACTTTTTACTTCTACTCCACTACAATTTAAAGTTAAATGGTGTAGGCTACTTTTACTCCACCACATTTATTTAATACCTTCAGTTACTTAACAGATCTGGATTAATGATGTGAAATATAATTATTATAATTAATAAAAGTCTTACATCAGACTTTAGTTCCACCTGGAGTAAATTCAAAAGCTACCCTGCAGTATACAAAGTCATTCAAACTCGCTGCACCTTTACCAGCTTTGAGAACACTTTACTGTATCAATTATAATCAAAACATATAATTTATATTATACTAGAATATACATAACTACTTTTTCTTTTGGTAGTTCAAGTATATTTTGATGCTAATACTTTTGTACTTTTACTTACTTTACTTTTACTTAGTAACATATTGTTTGCAGGACTTTTACTTGTAACAGATTATTACTACACTCTGGTACTTCTACTTTTACTGAAGTAAAAGATCCGAGTACTTCTTCCACCTCTTGGCAAAACTCACCAAGAAAAGATAATATCTGTTATGCATGTTGAGCTTAGGAAAGACAGCACACTTCAAGTAGTATTAAGATTGTAGAACTTCATATGTGATACAGGCATAATATCAGTCAGTTTCAGTAAAACCATTGAAAGCATTGGAGATGATCACACTTTATTGAGTAAGTACAAATATTTTCATTACTAATGAAGTACAATTTGGAAAGGAAAGGGTCAACCGATTCTTATGTCTATTTTTTATTAATATTTTTGAGGTTGAGCAAAACATGGTATAACAACGTTTCACTGATGACAACCTCTTTCGGGCAGGGGTTGTAATTTAGAGAATGTAAAAAGCCAAATGCAAGCTGCAGAAAAAAAAAAAGAAGGAAGACTGGCTAAACAAATAAAAAATGTAAATTGAAAAAATGTTTCAAGTAATATGCTAAACAGCAATAAGTAGTAACCCTTAAATTATAAGGACAAGTTCTCAAACATGTTAAGGTGGTTAGCCTCTTTGGAGTTCTATTTTAACAAAGGTAACATGGTGTTGTATTAACAAAGTTAGAAACTAGTGCAAAAACATTAATAATTGACTTTAATGTCTGTCAAATGGAGAAAAACCGAGCAAGCAGGACATCTATGTTAAATTCAATTGTGACGTCCGTCCTTATGGATGCATTGCTTCTATGTCAGAGAGAAACCCACCATAACATACTCAATGTGATTCAGGCTCAGGCCATCAATATTTGTAGTGGAGCATTTAAAACATCATTGTCTCCAATGTCTGTTAAATTGGGGGACATGTTCCTCATACCATCTGGTTTGTGAGGAAGTCTCTGCACAGGTGTGAAGTATTTTTCCATGTTGACCCTGGGAGAATCGCCCTGACTTGCCCCATGTTGACTTGGACTGCTGGAAGAGATAAAAATAACATGTAAAACAACTGTTAAGCAGTATCACGGAGAAGTCATAAGTGCAGTGAGGCTTTATAAAGAACCTGGTGACACATTGGCAGTTTGCAGAACATGCAAAAATGTTGGTCAGAATGTAAGATGGTGACTTCTTCATGGTCATGCTGCACAAAACTGCACATCCTTGTTGTTTCTAAGCTGCTACTTTAGGGTGTCGTTAACTACTGTGGCAGGTCCTACAGCTCGGTTGGTACCCAAGGCAGGAGAAAGCAAAGAAGGGGGAGAAGGGAAGACAAATAAGCCAAGATCTTAAAGGTCCCATGTCATGGCCATTTCTACTGATCATAATTCCATTGTTGAGTTCTACTAGAATAGATTTATACTGTTCAATGTTCCAAGCTCACATTGGTTTCTCATACAGCATCTCTGTATAGTAGTATGTGTATTCACTCTCTGTCCTAAACGGCTTGTTGGAGCTCCTGCCCCCCCTCCCTATGAACCCACTGTGCTCTGATTGGCCAGCTCGCTGCACTCTGTTCTTACGAGATCACCACCGTTACAGCAGAGCATCATTGACAGGGCCGGCCCTAGACTTATGGGGGCCCTAAGCGAGCTTTGGCTTGGGGGCCCCTCCCGCGCGTTCTCACGACACACAACAGGGAACCAACTTTTGTCTTATGATGTTAGCATAAGCACACATATTGTATAAATAACCATGTAAACACCGTGGGCCTAACCTCCTCTAGGGGGGTCTGGGGGCATGCTCCCCCGGGAAGATCTTTCTTTTTTTTTTTTTTTTTTTTTTTTTTTAATATATATAAAAACAACATTGAAGTTAAAAGCATCAATCTGGTGCGCTTTGAGAGCAAAATGAAGAGAACAGACAGATTTTTCTTTATTGATATTTTACAAATCACTTAAACTGTATTCTTGTTTTGTCATATAGTATTTCATAACTGTTTTTCATTTATTCTCTCTGGCTGTCCATCTCATAATGTTCACATAGAAACTAGCTGTCAATAGGAATACCATTCAGAATAATTATAATTTCTTGCAAAAATCAGTGTTGTTATGGCAACGTCAGTGGCCAAACAGCAACATTTACTGCCACCATTTCAGCTGACTTTTTCTCAGAAATACTGTCACATAACATCCATATATTTCAGTGCTAGGTTGATGCTTAGCTAAGCTAACTATGAAACACTTTAACTGACAGGATCAACTGTGTACTGTAAGGTAGCTTCTGGCTTCATGTTGAACACTAAGTCAACATTTTCCAGAGAGCTTTCTTTGAAATCACCAGGTAACGCTAAAAAGCATTACATTTATATCGTATGACAAAGTGTTTATTTAATATATCTGGCTAGCTATAGCTACTTTGCTAACGGTTTAGCTTACCCCCGCGATTCAAAGTAACGTCAACGTAGCTGTAATTTATGCTTTGTTTACATGTTCACATAACTTGGAAGTTTACTGACATTTATGCCCCTTTCACACCAACGCGTTTTCAGCTCCGGCTCGGAGCTGGAGCCAGAAAAGTACCGTTTTTTCCTGTTCACACTGCAGCGGCGCCGCCTCTTAGCTCAGGAATCCGGTTCACTTCCAGCTCCAAAAAATTGTCGGTCTAGAGGCAAGAGCTTCGGAGCTAGTACCTCATTCACACCAACGGTGTTTCAGGGCCGGTTCGGAGCTGGAGCTTGAAAAGCACCGGGTTTTCCTCTTCACACAGCAGCGGAGCAGCCTTTTAGCCCCGGAANCATTATAGACGCATTTTGTAGTCATATTGCATTAGAAACGAGTTGGCGACACTAAGACTGCGATATAATGTTTATGTAGCAATACATATGACATATATGTTTTAAATGTCTCCTGTACCGATAAAAAAGAGCGATAACGTTGGAGCTTAACGGGGTGTAGAACACATGTGATGACGTCACCAACGAATCGACGACTGAATTAGTTGCCAACTAATTTGGTAATCGATTTTAATCGATTAAGTCGATTAGTTGTTGCACCCCTACTGTGCAGCAGCACTCTAGACTTGACAAACACTAACTTACCCTCTTCTTAATGAACTTGAGGGCTCGCTTGTCCTTGGACACCTTGAGCAACTCCATGGCTCTCCTCTCATATGGAGCAAAGCCACACACCTCACGGATCATGTCCCGGACAAACTTGCTATGTTTGGTTAGACGCTGCAGAGGAAAGACAAAGCTTTAAAACCACAGATCCTTTCAAATTATACAGGAAACGTTGCAATGGACATCATTGTTTATACAGATATTCCATATTCTGCAGCAAATCAAAGTGAGTAAATCATGCTTTACAAAAATTTGATTTATAAGCTTTGAGAAGTTTACTTTTGACCATGTTATCAGACATTGTAGGGAAAAAAGGACTATGCCCTGAGCTACATCTCTGAAACTCTTCTGTTCTTCAGCAGCCTGGCATTGTTTCCGCCATGTATGGACAGATTGTCCCAGGCTTTACAAGAGGTGGCTATAGTTTTAGGAAAGTTACATTTAGGGCTTATTGGATCAATCTGGAACAGCATGTAGTAGCATTTTTTATTTTTGAAATAATTATTTAAGACTCATAATACAAAAATACATTTGATCAGAGCTTGTTTGAAATGAATAATGTTACATACCCTGAACTTCAAACATCTGTGTGTATTGTCCACGGTATTCAATGTAATATAATGAAAAGCGCTTTGAGGACTTGGAAAAGTGCTAAAATAAAGACCGTGAATTATTTTTATTATTATTAACTGTGCTTTAAAAAAAAAAAAAAAAAAACTACATTTATATGACTATACATCCTTATACCATCTTCATAGCATCAGAAATGGCAGCTGTAGTAAATATGTTGCACATTTCACCCCACTTGTTGTAAAGACTGTTGCTCTTTACATTAAGTAATTAGTCAATATGTGTTATAGTCATGATAACTTTTGCAACACTGGACTTTTACTGTTCAAATATGTTATTGCGCTTTGCCCGTTTCCAAATGTCACTGTTCTGCCCAGTTTTAAGCCCTGTAGCTTTATCGGGCATACGGCCATCAACAAATGTTATGTCACTGTTCAAATTTACATTTTAAAAGGCTCAGTTATTTTCTATTACGAATGGCCATGTTATATTTAAGCATTCATGATTCAAACAGGGAAAAGTTGCATTTAACTCTTGCAGTGGGATATGCACATAGGATGGAAATCAGACTGCTACTAGTGATTATTTAAAATATACATTAAAATGTCAGTTATGTACTTGTTATATTAGGCTAATAAAAAATGTCCCACAGCCAAGATTTATCGATTTAAAATGACTTGTTTTTGTCCTAAAAATCAAATCATCATGAAGCTGAAGCCTGATAATGCTTCTCATAGTGCCAACATGTCTTAGGTGAGCAAAAAAGTAATTGATGGCAAATAATCCATTAATTTCGGATGGGACAGGGTGGAAGAAGTATCACATTTTAAATAGACTGGCTTGGTTTGCTGTCAGAATATTCAGCATCTAATCAGGACATGGATCAGCTTAAAGTAACTTGTGAAATGACATGTTGTCTTGTTACAAACTGATCTCAGACAAGCACATTAAGCATCACACTCCTAGTGAGGTCTGGAGTGCTTTAGTAGTAGCAGTGATGTATTAAATGTGAAACATCAGAAACTCACCCCACGCCGGCGGCTGTGTTTGGGGGCAGTCACATTTTTGGTGACTGGGTGGCCCTTGTTAAGGCCAACAGCCATAGGGTAGCGGATAGCCATTTCTGCAGGAGATAAGAACATTTAAAAATCAGTCACAATTGATACAACTTTTTCAAGACCGATTTAAGCAGCAACCACATGTTCAACAGTCAACAGAAGCACTTCCGCTAGTGCACAGATATAACGGTTTATGTTTTCAGAGTTAGCATGCACTGCTAACGTTAGCGTAACAGAACCGGGTGGACATACAGGTGAATTTAAATTACACTTAACTTGAGAAAATGTTTCTAAAACGCGTCTCAGTAGACAATCTACCGTGTAGCTCCTATACGTGTTAGCAATGAAGTATAGAGATTGATTTATGCACAGAATGAACACAGCTATGGGGCTTATGAGTCACTGACAGGGATTCATTTTTTCCTATCTTTCACTTCTTCTTGTGACACAAATAATGCCTACAGATGTTAGATAAGTTCTATATGTGTCTATAGTTTCACTGTGTACGGTGGAAAACGACGGATGGTAAAGATTATACGTGGATTTTGGCAGATAGTTGTCAACATTTAAATCTTACCTGCTGTCTATGATGGCGGTCAGACCGGAAGGACTGTGGAACGACAGAGGCGGGGTAATGACAGGTTTGACCCGGAAGAGACATCTGCGACAACAGAGCACTGCCCCTATTGGGCTGGATGAGTTACTGCTGTTTAATCAGTCTTTTGCTTTATTTATTTTTCGTAGTAGCATTTAAATAAAATACATGGTATTAATGCTGTGATATTATATTATCATCCAGTAAGGTTCATGTATCAGAAAATAAAACACATCTGTTTTTTATATGCATAAGTGAGCCGTTGTTTCCGATTTATCATATTGCAGGTTGTGATCCAGTTCAACACTACAAGGTCCATTCTTGTTTTGTAGAAAAGAATAAGAGATGCTCCAATATTTTGTATTTCATTTAATATCAGTATTACAAAATAAGGACAGGTCAGTGGAAATTATTTCAATGTTATGAGAACTCATCACTATTACACTATAACTAAATATTTTTGGGAAAGCTATACGTATTATATGTAGGTTAATTAAAGTCTCCTACTGAACTACCTCGGAAAAAACGTCAGTAGTTCGAGACAATGCATTAGTTTCCTTAAAATGTCCTTTTGTTTCACTTAACACTAATTACATTCCTTGGGGGGGAAACTAGTTATCAGTATTTGTTCAGTCATGAACACCTTACTGGGTTATAGCTTTTTCCATCACTAAATTGCTTCCCATTTTGTTTTAAGCAAAAAAAAATCTCAGTACACCGTCGACGTGATAAGTATGTTTAATTAATTGTGTTAATATGCCTAGATTGACTACTCTCAAAGTCATGTATTATATTATTGAGTCAATAATAATACATTAACCGTGCTTTACCCTAACCCATACTTGCCAACCTTTAGACCTCAGAAATCGGGAGCATTTCAAAATGCAAAATTGGGGGGGGGGAGCTAGTGGATCGCCGGAGCTGTGGAACTGGGCCTAGAGGCCCAGATACACCGGCCCGAAATCGGCAGTAAATGGGAGTCGGGCCGAACATGAGCGTGGGCACGCCCTATTCGGAGTGGTGTGCGCCGCACCGTCGGGTCTTTTCTGCCGACCTGACGCCTTTTCTTGGCGATTCAACATGTTGAATCGCTGTCGGGAACACCACCGGAAGTCGGACAAAGGGATAACACTGATTGGCTGTTCAGCTAGCGAATCAGTGCATGAGAGGCGTTAACGGAAGTGAGGGAGGTAAACAAATGATTTAAAATGGAAGATGGAACACACACGGACGGCTATTTCACCTCATCGGTTTATAGAGCTCCTGTTCGTTCATGTTTTCAATGGACGAGAGTGAAAATGGAAAGAAAAACGCTATTTGTTGTTTGTTTATATCACGGAGTCTGTTCTTCTCTGTCTTCCGGTTGTTCCGGTTGTTGCCTCTTTTGAATGATGAATACACACTACCGCCGCCTGCTGGTAAGGAGAGTTATTGCCACTCACGCATGCGCAGTTCATACGTGCTCGGCTCGGATTTGCGGTGTGTTCCAGTGCGCGAAGTCGGCAAATACGCAGGAGAGTCCGGTGACGCAACAGTCGGTGTCGGCGTCGGCGACTTCTCAGGTGACTGGCCGGTGTATCTGGGCCTTTAAACCTCATCATGACACTAGAGAGGACGGCAGGATTGTAATTCCCGTGTTCAGTGAATGCAACAGAGGCAAGACACCAGACCAACCAGAGAGTTGAATGGAAATAAACATCTGTCTTATTGGCTGACAGGTACCTATCCTGTGAGCTGTGACAATGTTTAAAATAAACTGTCAGTCGGACTCAGAGTTTTTGAAGATGACATAAGAACATTTTTTCTTAAAAAAGACGACAATTCTCAAGTGGTGGCTCACACAACAACCCCAGAACCACCACTTGAGCCAGGTAAACAAGGTATGTAATCTGTGCTAAAGCTTTTCTGGTTCAGCTCCGGTTTCCCTTTTCTGCTCCCGCTCTGTTCACACCGCCCAGAGCCCGACTGGTGCAGCCGTTGCTGCGTCATATGTCCGACTCTTGTCCACCATTACCTTGTCATACAAGTCCAAATCGATAAGTGTCTTCGTAGGTAACCCGAACAATTGTACCTTTAGTTTCGTCACAGATCCCACATAACTGGTAATGTCAACGTGTCAGAATTAATTAACTGTATATGTCTGCAAGCTGTCCCGTCCTTCCGCTTTATAAAACACCAAGGGTTAATTGTTAGTCTTTTATGTGTAACGTAAGAGTATATACTGTCGTTATTACGCCCTTAACCCTCCGTACTCAATAGTATCGCTGATAATCAATCATCATGTCTAGTATCTGTAGTCACCTATTATGAAATCTCGTCCCGAAAAAGTCTAACGACATCAAAGTGATTTGTGGCGAGATTTCAGTTCTAAATTGTCGATTGCCTGCTCTCAGAATTGCCCTCCTATCTTTGTTGTCACCATTGTCTTCTGTTCTCCACTTTCTTACGTCTATTTATGGGTTTAAGTTTATTGAACGTATAATCGTCGCCAAAATTACCACACCAAACCGCCGGAAATAGTCAAACTCTGGGCGCTGACTTCCCTGTCCTACCGAAGGTCTTTTGCCTCAATTATGGTTTTGTTGTGACCTTGCCGTGGGAAACAACGTTCGAGACCTACGTCCGTTCATATGTCGAACCTCTTCAGCAATAATGAATAAATAAGAGCTGAAGCATAACTAATTTTCGTTGTGCTAGTAGCTGGGCTGCGTCAGGGCGGCAACGTATGGACGGTTGGGATGACTAAACCCGCCGTTCAGATTTGTATACGGAAGGCCGTCTTGTCGAACTGTACAAAGAGTCCTGGGTGCTTAGGCCGTGCTGTGTCTGAGGGCTGCGTCACTGTTGTGAAGGGATTGGCTAAAAGTTAGAAGTTTGATATTGTTATTTTATTGTGAGGTATCTGTGACCTTGAGCTGAAAACGCACCTGTGGGGCAAACGTCGCACTAGCGTAATATGTTTGTCATAGAGACACAAGACTTTCTCTGTGGTGTTGCAACGTCTGCCCCCATTCTGACGCCCTTTGCCGTCGCAAAGGGTGCTTCAGTAAACTCAGGACGTCCTAAAGGGGCAATTATAGTCACAGAAGCTTTTGTGTACAACCGCTGACTTTCTGTAGGTCACAAACGCAGAAAAGACCTTCGTACGGGATGTCACAGGTTGACCTTTCCCTGGGTGTTTGTTGTATTTTATATCTACCGTTAAAACTCTAAACCCCTATAAATGAGAGGGTAAGAAAGTGAAAAGACTGTAAAAAGTTTGTGGTGTGTACAGCAATTACAGCCAAATCACTTGATGTCGTTTACGACTTTCGTGACATGTAAATAAGTATTAGTGTGAAATAGTCATATTTTTACGTCCTTTAATGAAAAACTTACGTCATAAAAGACTAAATACCGCGTTGTGTTTCTATAAAGCGAGAGGACGTTTGGAAACTGAGATTATACATGTAATTTACTTTGTTCTATACTTGGGACCGAAAATAAGTTACAAGTGGTGTTCTCAAGATGTAGGACTGTGTAGGAAGTAGATGTGACAGAGTTGACTTTCTCCTTTGTGTAATTTTTATGTTATTTTACACCTCTGAAACCCTTATAAATAGAGGGTAAGAAAATGAAAAGCCCGTAAAATTGTCTTTGGTCTGTAAAGCAACTACAGTCGACAAACTTTGATGGTGAAAAAGACTTTTTACGTATTTTACTACGTTATATTTATGTACCAAATATGTACATGTAATGAGCCCAAGGGTAAAGATAGACTAATTGGATTAAACCCGCAGGGTAAACGGTGCGCGTTGATCGGAGAAACGCTAAACCTTTCCAACCGTACATACGGCAACAAAACAACAACAACAAACAACAACAACAACAACAACATGCAACGACCTCGCGGCAACCCTCGTTAGTCGCTACATTTNTTAGTGTTTGTCAAGTCTAGAGTGCTGCTGCACAGCCACAGCAGCATGTTCAGTAGATTTTACAGCTGCATGTACAAGTTGCTCTGTCACCAATGTAATGAACATGCTGCTGTGGCTGTGCAGCAGCACTCTAGACTTGACAAACACTAACTTACCCTCTTCTTAATGAACTTGAGGGCTCGCTTGTCCTTGNCTGCTGTGGCTGTGCAGTAGGGCTGCAACAAACGACTAATTTGATAATCGATTAATCTATCGATTAATGAAACGATTAATCGATTATTCGGATCGTTAACTTAACGATCCGAATAATCGATTAATCGTTTCATTAATCGATAGATTAATCGATTATCAAATTAGTCGTTTGTTGCAGCCCTACTGCACAGCCACAGCAGCATGTTCATTACATTGGTGACAGAGCAACTTGTACATGCAGCTGTAAAATCTACTGCAGAGCTTGTATTGGTCTGTAGCATGTGCTGATAGTAGGCTAGAGGGTGTTGAGTCTAATGTTTCTCTCTCCTCCACAGATTGGCACTCACATCCGTGCCAAGAGAAAGAGGGAGGAGCTGAGCAACGTTCTGGCTGCCATGAGGAAAGCTGCTGCCAAGAAGGACTAATCTGTCACTTAATAAACGTTTTCTAAACTCTGAAAGCCAGACTGGTGTCGTTTGTCTTCTGCTTTGCGCCTTTTCTATGATGTTTTGATTTTTTTAAAACACTGTTTGTGAAAACTGATGCCTCGTTACTGTTCAATAATGCATAAAATATAATGTTGCATTGACCAGTGTAATAAAACCTCCCTGGAGGTCTGCTCCTCACTATCAAGAGGTGGTGTAGGTCTGGATGATGCACTTTGCAGGCTGTTGTTGGCCCCTTCATGGTCAGTGCTCAGGCCCCTCTGACTCCATGATGAAACATCTGCAGCCACAATCCACCCTGTCTGATTCCCAGACACTTCAGTGTTTATGGGTGCCATCAGGGAGATGTCATTAGCATCACAGCAACTCCTTTTGCAACATCAACAAGGACACAACTAAGAAAAGGAAATAGACATTCAACTTAACAACTACAATCATAATACTGAAATTACTTTCAGATACTTGTATTTTTGATTTCCTGTCTTTATGGTGTTACTGGGAGTTGCATGTTAGCCGATATGTAGAAATGCAATGGAGAGGACTTATTACTTTTTGAGCCAGAGCCCCCCTAAATAAATGCTCACTTTTGGTTATACTTTTATTTAATATACAATATCCCAAGCCGTCTACAAGTGGTAGTAACAATGTGGAAATGATAACTTAAAGTGATCAGCTGGTTTCAGCCCGACTGACCTATCGTTCTCCATGTCTTGTGAAAAGACATATTTTTAATTTCTTTTTATTCAGGACCTTCGTACAGGCATTTGAAAGTTATTCATGGGTACACTTTTTTTTTAAACAATTATATGTATCTATAAAAAAGTAATCCTACGTACTCGTGGATGGATAATGGAGAGTATTTAACAAGTATATGTCGAACAGTTGTGCCGCTGATCCCCTACAGCTTGGCTATATGATCATAACAACAAACCCTTTTATTTACAGTTTACAATTTGTATTGGTAGCAGCTAGTTTAAATACTAGTATAATAAAAGCAGTAACACATTTTGGAATCTGATATTCATCAATACTATTTGATGCATGCTACCCTTTATATATATATATATATATATATATATAGTCTATGATGCTACCTCATTACCTTACTACCTGTGTTATCTGAGGTGTAGCTTTTTTGCCTGCCCTTCACTGTGTGCGGCGGCGTTGCCCCTGGTGACGCGTCTCTATCTACTGGGTCCCGCCCAGGCTTTTTATTTTCGGCCTGTGATTGGCTGTTAGGCGCCCCCCCCCTGCCGTTTACTGGCTAGGCTAGCTGTCTGTCAGTTAGCTGGGTATATTTAGCTGATTGCATTATCGGATCAGATTTAACCTGCAGTCCAACAATATAGACTTAAGTAACGTTATACCTAGTTTACGTTGTTTTCATGCGAATAGTAACGGACAGAGCATTTAGCTAACTCACGTTAGTGGAGCTAACACCAGCAGCAGTTTTGTTATTTCATCACATCCTGGATTTATTTTCTGGAAGCAACGAAAACAGGCGACTTCAGAAATGTCTTCAGACGAAGACAGGGCCAAGGAGATTTTGAAGGGCTTCAAACTGTATCCTTTGAACTGTTGCTCTGCAAGGGTTGGACACGTAACCTTAGCGTTTGTATTTTTATTATTGTTTGTCCTAACATGACAACTTTACATTAGCACCGTGTGGGAGCATATGTGAGTCTGACTCTGGTGCTAGCTACAGTAAGGTAAGCTAGCTGCTGCGGCTAACCTGTCAGTGTGATACGGTCAGCTACCAGTGTTTGTCTTTATATGATGGGACAACATGGACATGTTCTTCTTGTTCCTCTCTGGAGGTCAGTGTGTGTCTGTCTGGTTGCTCAGTGCGCGGTGCTGCACCTGCACCCTCACACACCCTGTATACTGTGCACGCTATGATGTGTACTGCACTGAAGGGACAGTGACAGGACACAGGGGATAGCATGCATAATCTAGTCAGTAACCTAGCTAGCGTTTTGTATGACTTGTCTGCTGTTTGAGTTTTGTAACTTTACATATGGGAATATGAATATATAAATCCCAAACTTCATTATAAATCCTCCCGTTTTAATGCTGCCCTAAACACACCTGTGTACTGCAGTTGTGGAACAGTTTCTGTTGCAAGTAAAAATCCTGCATTCAAAAAGTTGACTACTTTACTTTACTTTACTTGAAGTTCCTAAACTAAAAGTACTTATTATGCAGAATGACTATTTATTTTTGACTAGTTTGTAATTATCAATCCATTAATGTGAACATTATTTTGCAGTAGGTAAAGTTGGATCTTACTTTAATGAATAAACATAATCTATAAATTAATTCATAATTTTTCAGGTTTCTAAAATAAATAAAGAAGAATAAATAGTACAATATTTGCCTCTAAATTTTTCTGGAGTAGAAGTATTTTCCTAGTATAAAATGTTCATACTCAATTTAATTACAAGTTCTTCAAAATACTCTCCAAAATATGGTAATTTAGTAAATATACATTACATTAAGCTGACGCTTTTATCAAAAGCGACGTACAATAAGTGCATTCGACCAAGAAGATACAAACTTGAAGAAAACAGAATCATATAAGTACATCAGGTTTCATAAAGCCAAAACATTTCAAGTGCTACTCAACTGGCTTTAGATAAGCCAGTCCTTTNCAGTAATATGTGTTGGTTTAAAATGTGTCACTACCCGCTTTTTACAGGCCGCTGAATGTCTGGCCCAGCTGAATTTTGTAGTTATAAAATCTGGCCCAACTGAATGTGTAGTTGAATATTCCTGCCCTACATGATGAATTGTCAGCCTTTAGAAAAATCTGTATACTGCAAACAGTTGTAAGTGGAGACTGAAGCTCCACATGCATTCAATCCAACAAACAACACAGAGCTAACGTTAGCTTTAGCCAGCTGCCATAACACTAATATATCAGATTAATATAGGTGTGCAGTAGTTATCTGTACCATTAACACTGCAATCCAATGCTGGGACTCATGTCTATTGCCAAAGTTAACAAGTTAGTTAATGGTGTTGTCTGTTTATGACCTGGTATAATCTGTGTTCTATTCCCTGACAGAATTTGACTACATTTTAACTTTAGAGAAAGCTTAGCAGTGAGGCTGATCAGTTGACAGGGACTGACCAGCTGGTTCTTATGGTCATATTTGTGCAAATAAAGTCAATTACTGGTGCAATCTTTCCCTTCAGTCAGATGTCTCCCTCCACTTCCCCCAATCTGCTACTCTAACAGAACACCTAAAGGTGACGTGCGATATGTGAATATGTAGGGAAACATGGTCTGGATTAAAAAATACATTCAGTCAGAAATGAAAGTTAAACTTCCAGCCGTACCACTGGCACCTCCAAACCACACATCCTTTAGACCAGGGGTGTCCAAACTTTTTTCACCGAGGGCCAGATACAGAAAAACATACGAAGGGCTGGGCCACTCCCTAGGAGGTACATTGCCTCATAAGCTCAGTTATAAGTTAGCAAATTCTATCAAATGTAGGTAAATGATGCTTGTGAGTGTTGGTAGCTCATCCCTTAAAAGCAGAAGCCTCAGATTGATTATGATAAGGAGAAATAGGAAGGGTGTATTTCAAGCTTGTTATGTAAATAAGTCATTGGGCTTTTTTCTTATCTTATCTAATCAAGCCCCTGCCTATATTTCTGAGCTGCTGAAACTTTATAATCCTGCACGTTCTCTTAGATCCTCTGACCAATGCCTGCTGGTCATTCCGCACACGCACTTTAAAACCAGAGGCGATCGAGCCTTTCAAGCAGTGGCCCCCAGACTGTGGAACGCGCTGCCACTTTGCTTGCGCACTTTAAACTCTGTGGAGCCTTTTAAAAAGCAGCTGAAAACCTTGTTGTTTAGACAGACTTTTAGTAAAGGTGAAGGTTCTTTTTGACAGTTTGTTTTATGTTTTGATGTTGTGTTTTGATGTGTATATGTAGCTGTGTGTTCCTTGTTTTACACCATGTATTCTCCTTTTTATCGTGATCTCACTGTGAAGCACTTTGTGAATCCTTTCTGTGAAAAGTGCTATATAAATAAACTTTACTTACTTACTTACTTACTTATCAACTGGGTTAGGGTTAGGGTTAAATTGCTCCAAAACAAAAACACGAATTTTAACTTCAATTGAGATGCAGGGGCAGGATCTTAAACAGGCACTATATGCTTGAAAACTATCAAATGTGGCGAAATGAAAACAACAACTGCAGTGAAGACAGGGATAAACCTCCTTTATAGAACATTTAAACATCTGTTCTCAGTGTGTGTTGTATAAGGGATACTGTAGCAAATTAGGGGATGCCCTTTTTGAAACAAGCTGCATTGTCTTTGCATGAGTACTATTGTAGTAGTGATTAGATATGACGTCAGTTCTATGAGCAAGGAGAGGAAGAGGGAGTGGCAGAGAGACAAGTACCATGTCTACATCTCTGTCCTCTCTGGGGGAGTAGAGTATGTTCAAACAAAATCAATGGCAGACCTATTTTATAAATCAGGATCTTTTTACAAGTCACATCTTGCTGTATAGCGGCAGCAACAGCATGCACTGATGTTCTGTGAAGCTGACTGACTCTCTGTCTGACAGGATGATAAATGGATACAGAGCAAAGCAGATATGTGTATACTCTAAATATAGACACTGCCTGTGACACAATCATGCAAATACTCACACAATATCTTGCCCTAGTAAGCCACATTGGTCCACATTTGCTCAAAGAGGATGAATGATAAGAAGCTTGTAGGTAACCTAAAGTCAAGAGAAAGGCGGCTGGAGGAGCTGTCCCATCAGGCTGTCGGCTGGTCAGCTGCTCCTTACCCCCACACTCTCGACAACACAATGCAGCCGTCAATCACAGGCATCCTTTGTACACTACAGCAGTATCCAATGGAAAGCATCTTAGTGACACACACATCCATCAGAGTTTCCGTCAGCCTGTCTTTACTGAACTTGAAAAGTCTCTTGAAGTCGGACAAATGTATAATCTCTCCAGGCATCACGTCTGGTGGAAATAATATCCCCCAAGCAAAATGTGAGGTGTTTTAAGAATAGGTTGAATAGATGAGTCAGCACTAGCTGCTGTCCTCTTTGCCACAGGCTATGAGATGCCAGTTATAAGGCCTTCAATAATAAGTGATTTCTGCTAAATCTATCCAGAGTGGGCCCCCGGATTCTCTCTGCAGGACAGAATCAAAACAGCGCCTGATTACATTGTATGAGCAAACAAGCCTGTATTTCTTTTGGTTTGTCGACTTTATTTGATATAAGAATGTGCATGCTTAAAGCTAATGGAAATGTGTTGTATTGTGTATTTATGTATTTCTTTGTCATGGATGAGTGTCTTGATGGGACTTGTTATATTTGAAATAGCCCACTTTTCAATCAAATGTCAATCTTCATGCCCTGATGTCATTTTGTAAATAGCCTTCTTATTATTGGTTTTCAAACTCAACATTAACGCATCATTTTTTACCATATTTCTCACCCGGACACGTTGACGGCGCTCTATTTTCAAACGGTAAAACGCTGACATCCATCCGCAGAAGCCAGAGTTGAATGTAAGGAGTGTTTAAGTGTGTGATGTGATGGACATGCTGCTGCAGGAGTGGAAAAGAGTCATGGGAAGGACTGATTTTGATCTTTCACTCTTAATATGGTCGTCATGGTTTCCGCCATGCATTTTGACAATTGGCTTTGGGCCGGCTCAGGAGACAATGGGTGTTTCTCAATGTCGAGTATGCTTGCTTGGTAGCACATGTCTTCCGAGTCACTTGCTTCAGAAGCGAGGCAAGAATACTTCCTGGCATTCAGAAAACGAAGAGTGGAACACGCGAGCAAGTGTTTTTTCCACCACAGATTTGGGGAAATTGGTCCGTGCGCAAAGCATTGTGGGGATTTTAAGACCGCGGAGTCTACACATGTGCAGCCTCGAAATTTCTCTCTACGAAGTACGCCAGGCTCGGTAGAATTCCAAGTATGCTGGACATTGGCACAGTCCTTCGGCGGCACTCGATGACGTAGTATGCTTGAAATAGTGGCTCTGGAGCAGCTTTACTCGACATTGAGAAACGCCCAATGTGTAGCTCTGTACTTCAGTCTCTGTGGAAACAGCGCTGCTTCCACAGGGAACACCTCCTCTTTTCTCTTTAGATATCAGCCCTCTGTTCCAGAAGATTCTCCACTCAGCATCCTGTCACACTCAGACACTACTCAGTGTCACACACACACTTGACTCCACACCATCTGTGGAGTCCTCCATTCCCAACGGCCTGAAAACACAGCCTCCATGTTAGCATACTGCTACATGAGATACAAAACAGTCATCTAATTGCACTTATATTACTGAGTCATAAATCTGTAGTCAGAATGTTATAAAACATTATATAAAGATGTGTAGATGTCATTTATTGGTCTAAGATTTAGTTTTTCCATCCGTTTCAAAATGAACAGGAAATACAATTTGTTTTTTCATCAATTTATGTTAGTATTTTTACAGCAAACACACAATCTACACGTTTTTTGTACAATCTATTTATAATTAGTTTACATTACCGGCTCCTTCACTACTCTTATTATTTGTTTATTTAAAGTCTAGATCTATTATTATCTCCTTCTCCTTTTACCTGCGCCTTACCTTAGCTGTTGTAACTCCAACATGTCCCTGCTGCAGGAAGATTAAAGACAGTCTGATTCTGATTAATTGTTTCATGTCTTAAATAAATGACATTTCCCAAACGGTTAGGAGTAGGAGTAGGACAGGTGTAAAAGCACCAATAATCTGAAACAGCCAGGTGTATAAAATCGTGATATAAAGTATATAACCATCGTAAAAAGTCAAATCTAACATAATTTGTGCTAAAATATTAGTAGTTTCCTCAATAAACAATCATCTGACATATAGTCTGCTCCCCTCCCCCAGCTCTTCCTCTGGCTCTCCAGTTAAGTCTGCTTACTTCGATGCTTTCTCTAATCCTCTCAAGTCTAACTAAATCCAATCTGCTACATCAAACTCATCATCCTCAACCCCTTCCAGAGCAGCCCAGGCCTCTGCTCTTCTACGGTACGCGTAACAAAAAAAAACAAGAGAACACATTTTAGCAGGTCCCTAAAAATAGTGGATTTATAAAAATCACTTGTTCCTATTATCACATCATCGTCCTTATTTGCCAGTCAGATAGCAGAAACTAAAGCAATTGATTTCAACACCAACAACATCATACCAAGTGTACCCCCCCCCCCCCCCCCCCCAGAGTCTGTCGGAACACACACACCCACACAGTTAATGAGCCCCCAGTGAAAAGCTGCTGGCACTGTTTGGTCTGGGTTTCTTTTTAAAGACGCATTAATGGCAGCTTCATGACCCTCTGAAACAACAGCAGCGCGACACAATCAGAAACACTGTCACAGAGGAGACGGTGGAATAAAGTCAAAAAGGAGGCACGCCTATCGCAGAGAGGACTGAGCCTTCACAGAGCGGTGACATCGTGTCGGGCTGCATCAACAACAACAACCAACAGGCTGCTTTTCATTATTCAAAGAAAATGAGTTCTGCTGTGTCAGTCATGTCAGACCAACGCACAACAGCAAAACTATACATTCTTTTTTAAGTTGAGCGATGGATTACTATGCACGCACAAAATATATTAATTAAAGCACTTTCAGTTATATACAATATATATTCAAATGTATTCAAGTGGTATTGCATATTACATCACATGTTACTTGTTAGACACTGTTATCCGAAGCAACTTACATACTCAATACTGTGGGGATTGAACCAGCTATCCTGATCCAGAGATCAGCACACTATCTCACTGAGCCATAACATCCCTTTGAATGTATAATTGTGAAGGAAAATGACTTTCTGCAAGAGATCGATAAGGGGGTCAAACTGATATAGGACAGCCTCAACACAGACTTTGACTACATTCAGTAACTTAGACATCTGCAGCTAATTATCCACAAGAGCAATCATCATCATCATCATCATCATCTGGAGGGTTTCATATTCATTTGCTACTAATGACTGTAAGTGTGCCTCAGTGGATTTGGCAGACAAGCATCCTGTGGTCCAACTATTGCGTTCCGATTCCTTCTCATTTTCAATAACAAAAATAAAGACAAATGGTCATCTTACTTAAAAAGTTCAATGCTAATGAGGTAAAAAGGTCACAAGGTGTGACTGTGCTAAAGGCACGGAATTAGCCTTTTGTTGGCAAGATGATCAAGACAAATAAATATTGATGTGTTCACTGCACTATGTGTTTAAATATCATGTTTATTTCATCATGTGTAATCATCGCTTGAGGTACATCTGCATGTATATTGAATGTTGGGGTTGCCCTCTTTAGTTTAATAAATGACATCATGTGCAGTAGTTGGGCAAAGAGCTCAAGAGCTACAATATGTAACGGTTTTTCAGTAAATACTTTTAAACCGAATCGGATCTTCTGGTCTGACCTGTGCCTTTTTTTTTACAATGTATTAATAATGTGTTCACTTTACCGGCTCCTTCAATGCTAGATGTATTATTATCTCCTCCTTCTCCTTTTGCCTTTTCTCTGCGCTGTACCTTAGCTGTTGTGGCTCCAAGTGTCCCTGCTGCAGGACGTTTAAAGACTGTCGGAATATTTTAAAACTGGATTGGATCATCCAGATCATGGTATGACTGAAGTTACTGAGCCTTTAGCTCATTTGAGACTTATTTGATTTCTGTACCAAACTACTATTATTATTGTTGACTATGATATTTCTTGTTCTGATGAATTTTGGAGTTTTCATCCCTTTGAAACTATCTCAGAATGACTATAAGTCAGTCACACTCTGGCTTTGAATACGTGAGACTACTAAAAACCTGCATCTAGTCTGTTCTGTTCACTGACCCTGTTCAATTTAACAACCAGATGCTGTATTTTCACTCAGAAGGAACGTGACATGTTGCCTTTACAGTCTAGAAAAATGAATATGCGTGTTGTTTGTTGTCTGTGCTTCCTTTAATAAGGCAGAATGGACAGAAGGTAGTAAATCCCTGCTCACTAAATCGTGGATTTAGGCATTACCACACTCCAGCAAGAGCCCTGACCTTAACAGGAAGCATACACACAGCTTCATCTTCAGGATGGACTGGGATCAGTGGAATACAATAAGGAGGACACGTTTTATACATCACAAATGAATGAAGTTGCCTGCTGCAGTGCTCTGCTGCTTATTTGAGAAGATATGACCGAGGCTAATCTGCTGCTACAAGACACAGAGCAGAGCGGAGAGCCCACACACACCCTCACATTCTACAGATCTGCAGTGGGGAAGTGGAACTGTGCAAACATTTCAAAGGATGCTTGATGTTATTCAGAACATTTACAGTGATACAAATCCATGCACCTGCACAATCATTTCAAATGCAACAAACGTACATTTTTACAAACCACAATGATTTCAAAAACAGTTGTTTGTCGAGGAGCCAAATTTAAGCTTTTGGAACTACTTTGTTTTTTACCTTGGAATTATATTGTCCAGCTTTCCTCATTATTTCATTAATTTCTTTGTTTTAAATTGCAATATATTCAGGCAAAGACCTAATTTTCGTGTAAGAAACAGACATAAGAAGCAATAACAAAAATAATGCACTTGAAATAATCAGCTAAAACAAGAAAAACTAAGAGTGAAATTAGGAAAAATAAATACATTAAATTGCGCGTATGATAACAAATGGATTGTTCTGCATGTTGTTCCACGCTGCAGCTGCACAATGAGAACAAATGGATTCTCTAAAATGACTAAAAACAGCTGACTCATGCAATCCAATCATTGAGCGTGTTCGATAATGGCCGGCATCGGGAGAAAGCAAGGAAGTCAAGTATGGGGGTA